TAAATTTGAATGCTATCGGCGTAGCAATGATAAGAGAGTTTGTAATTTTTAATAATACGACCAAGGGGTGACATATATAGAGAAAACAGCATAGGACCCAGCACAGACCCCTGAGGGACAACACAGGTAACAGGGGCAATGGAAGAGGAGTAGGTACCCATCGTGACAGAGAATGACCTCTCCGATTAGCAGGAATTAAACCAACCAAGGGCCATACCCATAATGCCAACCAGATGTTCGAGCCTCATTAAGAGGATGTTATGGTCCACCAGCTCAAAAGCAGAAGACAGGTCCAACAAAACTAAGGCCGCGGGGCGCCCAGAGTCTATGGAGCCCCTCTGATGACATGGTCCAAAAAATAAATAAATTGTGGCCACAAAGTACTACTTCATAGGGCACAAAATAGGTATAACATGCGCACGAAATGCTAATTTGTGGGCACGAAACACTTGACCAATAACCGTGATCTTTCCCAGGCCCTTGCAGTTGGTTGACAATAAAATCTATCCTGGGGTCCAGGTCGTACTTACGTCTGTAAAGCAACTGGGTTCTCAATATCCTGTTTAAATGTCTCTCCATAATAATGGTTCCTTGCATTGCCAGGCTTTTCAAAATGCATTTGTAGCTCATTCCCAGCCTAAAATAAAACTCAATCATACTGTCCATGGTGTATAGGTTTAGCCTACTGATGTGACGTTATCTATTTCGTTGCCACAAATGCGTAATTCGTTGCCACGTTATACCCAATTCGTGCCCACAAATTAGCATTTCGTGCGCACCTTATGCCTATTTTGTGCCCTCGAAATAGCATTTCATGGCCACAAATAAGTATTTCATGGGCATGTTATACTATTTCGTGCCCACGAAGTAGTATTTTGTGGCCACAATTTATTTATTTTTTGGACCATGTCATCAGAGGGGCTCCATAAGAGTCAGTAATTAAAGGAAGATCATTGAAGACCCTCAAGAGTATAGGTTAAAAATTAAAAAAAAAAAAAACATTTTTAAATGCTAAACTAATTGTTGCCAGTTTTTGCTCACATAGCTAAATGTTTCAGTCGCAGAGTAGTGACTGATTTCTGGTTTATGGGGACCTTCGGGAGGATAATCCAGCTGTGCATATCTGAATATGAGCGTCTTAATAACAATTAATACCTTTCTCCTGTCTTCTTGTGCCTCCTGCGTACACACTCTCCATCCAGGCAACACAGTGCTTCACATTTTGGTCTTGCAGCCCAACAAGAACATTGCCTGCCAGGTCATTGACTTGATTATGGCACGCGATGCAGAGCTGGACCAGCAAGTGCCCCTTGATATGGTTCCCAACTCCCGAGGCCTTACACCTTTTAAGCTGGCTGCAAAAGAGGGAAACACAGTGGTGAGTAGAACCCAAACATGAAAGGTGGAACAGATTGTTCCTAATCTCATCCTAACCCCCTGTCTCTTAAAGGTATTCCAGCACCTAGTTAACAAAAGGCGTGTAGTCCAGTGGAGTCTGGGCCCTTTGACCTCTCACCTGTATGACCTGTCCGAGATCGACTCGTGGGCCGATAGCATGTCAGTGCTGGAGGTCATTGTGGCCAGCCAGCAGAAAGAGGTACAGAAGAATATGTAGGTAGCATTCAGGAGAAAATGCTAATTGTTATCAGGAAGTTAGTTCTGACTCTGAGATTTTCTCTTCTATTTTTGCTCTCCAGGCAAGGAAGATCCTGGAGGTCACTCCTGTGAGGCAGCTGGTTAGTCTGAAGTGGAACCTGTATGGGAAACATTACTTCAGGTAAGATTTTGTTAGTTTTGTTAAATCTGAACTAAAATACTTGAATTGTACACATGTCTGTTGCTGTTTAACACACTGGGTTTCTTCCTCCCTTTTTGTTGTCAGGTTTCTGCTGTTTCTGTATCTCTTGTACATCGGGACTTTCACAATGTGCTGTATGTTTCGCCCCCTAAAGAACGCTCCAGAGAACTACACAACGTCAGATGCAGACAAAACTGTCTGGGTTCAGAAGACGCTCAAGGTGGGCCAGAACTATGAATTATCATAGACATTAGAAAACCTTAAACAGATCTCAACATTTTACTCACTATACTGTTTGAATGAGACACCTAAAGTGAAATTTTTATGTTCAATGTGCTGACTGTTTTTGAACTATCCCAAAAATATAATTTGATTTTTATTACAGCACGTTTATTTTAAAGAGTCATATTTCAGATTAACATTTTGGAAATAAAATATGAACATTTATAAAACTGACTGCCTAGAAGTAACATAAAACCAGCTCTCACGTGTTAGTACAAATTATTATGATCCAAATAGTCGACCGAATCTGCATAATGAGTACTTTGATTTAGTTTTCTACCCTTTTCTCTTTGTTTAATATTTTCAGTTTGTACTTCTATTACATGAGTTTTATGGAGTTGATGTTTTGGGTGTAGATGTTTAGGTCAGTCCCCACTAAAAATTCAGATTCCTCTAATTGAATCCATTATTACCCCCTAGTTTCCCAGTCCCCACCTGCACTGGGGCCTGCTACACATTTTAGGAAGGCAACACTTTCATAGCGTGTCACTTCTACTTTGGTAGTTAGTACTTCCTCAACTACTGCACCACCAGAGGTTTTTTTGCCCCAAATTACTTCAGCCATAACTTATGTAAAATTCAAATATATATGATCCACTGAATGCATGTGTAAATACCAAACTATACACCTACACAAGTTACACAGTCAGACAATAATGAGATTTTAATATTTATAACAGCATCATTTCCTCTTTGTCCACCTCAGGAGAGTTATACAACACATGGGGATAATGTGCGGCTGGCAGGAGAGATTATCAGCGTCATTGGAGCTTTTGTCATCCTTGTGCTGGAGGTGGACATTTAAAATATGCTTTTTGTTTAAAAATATTCAACAGTACATTACTGTGAACTGTTCTGACCTCATGCATCCCCTGTGCTCCTAACAGATCCCAGACATTCTGAGAGTTGGAGCAAAGCGCTACTTTGGCCAGACGGCACTGGGAGGCCCTTTCCATGTTATCCTGTAAGCACACACACCCTCTGAGAACCCAAGCAAAGCATAATGTTTGGGAACACTGCCTAACCTTGCTGCCGCTCTTGTTTTTGACCAGTATCAGCTATGCCTGCTTGGTGGTGCTGCTGTGCGTGTTCAGAGCCTGTGAGGTGCAGAGGGAGGCCGAGGTGATGGCGGTGTGTTTGGTCCTCGGCTGGTGTAATGTCATGTTCTTCGCCCGTGGCTTTGAAATGCTTGGCCCTTACGTCATCACGATACAGAAGGTGCGGATGGGTTTCTACACGAGCTCCATGAGTAACAAAAACATGAGTTTGCTCTGCTCGCACACCTGCTCACACATGTTTTCATTTGTTGTTTTGGTTTTTGAGGTTTTACATTTTCAGACTGAGCTCGCTTGTGTCTCGTTTCCCCCTAGATTATATTTGGAGACCTGACAAAGTTTATGTGGCTGATTTCCATTGTGCTCTTTGCCTTTTCCACCTGTGAGTATATTGTTAGCAATAAAAATAAACACAAATTTTACAAAACATTGTTTAAAGGAAACCTTCCTGCTCTCTTACAAACATTTTTTTCTTCTCAGCCCTCTGGATAGTCTACATGACTCAGGAGGTAGATTCCCTTCCTTCGTATCGCTCATATCCCGTCAGCCTCTTCTCCCAATTTGAGCTCAGCGTTGGCCTCATCGATCTGCCTGTGGACCACACCATCCCTATACCTGCGATTGTCCATGTGTTACACTGCACCTCCTCTCTGGTCTCCCACATCCTTCTGCTAAATCTGCTCACTGCCATGATGAGTGACACACAATGGAGGGTGGGCCAGGAGAGAGATGAGCTCTGGAGGACTCAGGTAACAGGGTTATTACACACACATGCGTAATCACCTCTTCAGCGTGCATTAAGCATTGCTGTGTCATGTTTACAGCTGTAATGTTGTTATTCAGGTGGTGGCCACAACGCTCATGCTGGAGAGGAGGCTTCCTCGCTGTCTCTGGCCTCGACTTGGGGTCTGTGGGCTGAATTATGGCCTGAAAGAGTGCTGGTATCTCAGGTAAGATGCAACCTTGTGTCAGGAACAGACAAAAACCCACAGAAATCGACTAACACAGCAGAAAGGGAATGTTATCTTTAAAAATAAAGTCAAACAGGAAGTTTGTACAGAAACTACAGCCACAGCTCATGTCACGCTATAAAATGCTCAATTCTTTTTTTTATTGTAGTTCTTATATTACTTTCACACCTCCTAAGGCTACACTGCATGTTTTTCTTAGTCGATTCCTTTCATTTTTGTGTCCTTCTCATCAAGGTTAAAGAGGAAAAACAATCAGCCTGGCTAACAAAAGCTGCCTTTCAGTACAAATCAATTCAGTCTATTTCTCAAAACATCAAATATTCCTTTGGTTGTGTTTTTTCTTATTTTATCTCAACTGGTGAATGCTCATATGAAAGAAAACATGAAACAAAAGCCAAAAACCTTGAACTTCGAAGTGCTGTAACTCAGTTTTATAAGTTCTTTCTACTCTTGACAATTTTGAATGCAAGCACTTGCAGTTCAAAGCTCCTGTTTGTGAGGGCCAACCAATCAGAAGACAGGTAATATAAAGTGAAGTGGACAAATATGAGCTGCTCCAAGCCAGTATAAGACTAATAAGGATTATTTTGAACTGCAAGTTATGGAAAGCTAGTGTAGAACAGTCAGACAGGGAAAATGTGCATAATACACCCTTTTAAGTGTAATAGTAGGTTATATATGTATAAGTAGAGGGGAAAAAATATATAGTATTAGTAATACGATAAGAATGGTGCTTCTCACTGCAGGCACAGCATTACTCATGGGTGAAGTCCATCAAAGGCTTTCATTTAGTGTCAGTGGGCAAATTGTTTTCCTTCCGTAAGTGAATAAGCTTTTTGTTTTGTAGGTGGGGCCCGAAAAAAAATGGAAACTAAAAAGAAGAGTGTAACATAATTAATTTTGAAACATGTGTGACTTTTTCTTTATTCATCTTATTTGCAGGGTTGAGGAAAGAAATGACTCCATGATGCAAAAGATGCGGCGTTACGTAAACGTCTTCTCCAAAGAGGATGAAAAGGAAACGGAGGGAGATGAAAATTCTGACTTCAAGGTTCCCTTGAAGCTGAGACTTAAAAACAAAGGAGGATGGTGGGAGCTGGTTCGACACAGCGCTTTAGGTTTGGAGATGGAGCAGGATGAGCCAGAGGAGGAACAGAGCATTAAATATGTTTAGAGAGAGACGCCGTCTAACCAAGAAGTTCCTTCCTATCATCAACTTTGAGTCATATACATATTAAGTAGATGTAAAGAATTGCTGAATTTCAGTGACCTTGGGGTGAAAGAACCACACTATCTTGATTTCTCAATATAGTAAACAGTGCAATTATTTCCGCAGTATTATGCCATAGAACAGACTGTGATTTTTATAGAAATATGAAAGATGTCTAGCAGGAATATATGCTAAAAAAAATAGAGATTCATGTTATCATGTAGATAATGAGTAATTTTATATGAGAATAAAACTTTCTTGAAACAGTTTCACTGTCACTTCATTTGTAAAGCAGACAGCAGATAATAAAATCATACAAAACAAAGGAGCAAGGCACTTACAAAGCTTTACAATCAAATATTAGAGCAGAAATTATTCCACACAATGCTGCAAGAAAATCTACAGTAATTAAACTGCTAAGTGTCAGACTTAGCAACTGTTATCTAAAAAGCGTGTTTATATTTCTTTGCTGGATACTGGAAAGAGAAGTCTTGGCATGTTATTGTTGAATTTGATGCTTGCTGGCGGAACAGATTTGCTCGCGGTTCTTTTACAAGAGCTGCAGCTGACAGATGAAGTAAGTGGCGACGTTGCAGGAAGCTCTAATCCAGTTTCTGGCAGATGGGCCTGTGCTGTCTAGGATCCCACAATTCCCAGTTCTTGGATCTTCTGCCCAATAGCTGCAAAACAAAAGAAAGAGTCATTAACTATTATTTTGCAATCTATATCTGGATTTTTTCTTTGTTTGAACAAAGTGTCCACTTTATTAGGTACACTTGTAATTCAATTTGACAGCTGTACAATAAATGTTTTATTTTATAAGCTTATTAACACATGTATATTTACACATAATTTGTTATTATGATGGATCTGTGACCATAAATTACCAAACACCAATATGCACAGTGCAATAGTGGCAAATCCCACACAACCCTGATCTAAACCACAAACAACTATGTCTAAACTACCCTATTAGTCAATTGTCTATTTTAATAACTATTTAAAGAATCATTTATAGAATAAAGACCTCTCTCGCAGCTTTGTGCTGTCAACCCAGGTCCATTCAGTGCCTTTTTGAATGGTGCCGATCCAGTATTGGAGATTCCCTTTCTGTGTCAGAAAGTCCTAAAAGAAAAAACACCATTGATGCGTAACTATTAGCAGTTATTACCACTTCATAAACTGCTTGCTTGTAATATATAAGCATATAGTTAATAACTCAAGGAAGGAAGAGAGCGGCATAAAAGTTATCAGATTCACCTGAACTTCTTTGCTTGTAATAACAGCCAGAGATCCCCCTCTGGAGGTGCAGTTCTGCTCGCTCTGGTGCCACTTCAGTCTAAAAGTCGACAGGAAAAAGCACGATTGGCCAAAGGTTATCCACCCGTCACCACACAGCCGGCAGCCATGATCTGGAAGCAGAGAGAACAGGAAAAGCTTATTTAAAAAACAGGTTAATGAAAAAGTAAAAAGCTGTTAATCAGACCTGAAGCTTCCCACACTCTTTTTTTCCTTTGCATATTCAAGGGTTTTGTTTGTGATTTAATTTTCATCATATTTTCATCTTTATGCATGTATTTTTTCAGTTGCACAGAAACCTAAAAGAGTCTCAATTTTTTCTGTTTTATAAACAAAAAAAAGAACGCCAAAGAAGAACACGAATTTGAATCGAGACTTGTTTAAAAAGGAATTTAAATCATTATGAAAGCAGAACTATTGCTAAAAACAAGGTGATTGAGAAAGAATCTCCCACACTTTTTGTGCCTGCTCACGTTTAATGTGAATAGCTGGGAACTGGGCCTGGCAGTTCTCGAAGGAGCATCCTGGAGCAAACGCAGGTACTGCTTCTTTAGCTGTTGCACTTTCCTCTATCACCGGGCAGACTGTGGGTCCAGTTTGCACTAGAAATCAGAGCACAATGGGAGGAGATTTGCGAGAAGGAATATTGCCCTGAGGCTGCAGCAAAGCAATAAGCAATAGTTTTACTCCTTTGTTATGCACTGTTATGAGAAATAGAATTTTAAAATTCCATAGCTGAAAAAAAACTGTGCACCATTTTGATCCTGCTCTGCCAGGACCTTCAGTCTTACGTAATCTGCTTTGGTGTTATAAACATAGTGGTGCCAGGAAGGGTTTGTTATCACAGCGCTGACATGAATTCAGATCCATGGCTGCAGCTACTCACGTTTCAGGCTGAGGATAATGACAACCACCAGAAGGACGATGCACATTAAAGTGAGGAATAAGCACACTGCACGGTACAGACGCACATTTCCTCCAGTCGGTTCTTTGCCTGAGGAAGACGACATCAGATAAATGTTAATGAGCACAACAAAGACCGCCATGAAGCCTGCAAAAGCTGCATCTTCCTACCTTTCTTCCCCTCCAGTTCAACCGATAACTTGGGTTGCAAGTTTTCATCAGCCTCATCTTTCTTATCCTCAACGTAACTGCGGCAGAATTTAATATACATGGAGAAAAACGTCCTGGTATTTGAGAGAAAGCTTGTTTGCTCTGTTGTGCTCCGTCTTCCTCTCTGCTGACTCAAGACTGGCTGCAACAGTGCAGTTATAGGACGCCCCCTTTGTCTCATCACCATAGCAACTTGACCTTCATAGATTCCCAAGTTATTCATGGAGCACAGTGCCAGGCTTGTCCTTGAATGACCCAAACTTTAAACTCTCTTCCTGTCTCTCTCATTTTAACATTAGTGTGTGTGTGTGTGTGTGTGTGTGTGTGTG